ACTGTAAGAGAAGGTCGGTCTACAAAAAACGGAAAAGATGCTTGTAAAATGATTATATCTAAAGAACAACAAAAAAAAGTAAACAAAGTTGAACACTAATCATATATATTAGTATATTTTTCAGAAAACTCTATCACTTCTCCTATTAGATAATTAATCGTCACGTAGTATCCTTCTTAGTGAATATATACCATAGTGCTTGATATGATGAAAGCTATAGCATAATGTATGATAGGATAATGAATCAGCTGATACGATAATGTGTATAATATGCTGTAGGAGATAAATGTATGTGAATAAAATTCGAAACATATTTTTGTTGCTATACACTGGTGAGATATTTCCGGCTTAAATTAATTATCTAGAAACTATTCGCAAATCACTTAATCACGCTGTGTAGCTAGTGAATCTTGGTAAGACAAACACAGATAGCAGCAACTCATCAACAAAATTTTGCGTAGGAAATGATTGCGGTAGTCTAAGTACTTTTCATACGTAGCTTATACCTTTGTAGAAGCTAACCGGTTCCAGAAATGTTGCACTCATTTGACTTTTAAACATTCGCAGTGCGCAGTTGGCATCTACTTATCTTGTGAATGTAATCGATAAAGGGACGTGCATAATCAAATATTAATTTAGTTTAAACTTTATTCATTCAAGAAAGAGAAATAAGAATTCACACAGATGCGGCCTAGGCCATTATATCAGAGGGAAATAAGATTGTAAATGATATGAGCTATTACAGATGAAAAGCACAAAAAATAAGAGGCATAGAAGGAACAGGTATGTAAGGAAGACGACAAGAAGAATAAAAAGATGCACGCTAAACCTTAAACTATTGTACAGACATTAAGAAAAGGCCTGAGAACAGTGTAGAGAACATAACAAATATGGAAGATTAGTTTAATATTTAAAACGTTTTGTAGCAATTATGTAATCGATCACTGATCTGACTACAGGTATATAGGAGTCCTTCTCAAGAGATACATTAAGAAAGAGAAGAGTCAAACTAAGCGGATTACCGTTCAGTAAGATTCGTAAATTATTATATAACTGATGTCTAGAGAAAGTATGACGGGGACAATGAAGTAAATAATATTGTCGTGTTTCTATTTCGCCGTATTAGCAAAGATTACTATCAGATAAATGCTTTAGATAGAGATCGGCATTTAACTGCAAAAATTTAGATCTTATTTGGTAGTAGATGATATCAGCTTTTCGTGGAATTTTGTAAACTCGACAAACAGTTGAATTAGTTTGCATATGTGTTTTTAAAGATTTAACAAAAATACCTAGGATTTTGGATTCTATTATGTTTTGTCGTTTCATTTAGCGACAGTAGAAGGAAGAAATTTTTATCGAATATTTCTCTATAAGTCTGGATCGAAGATATGTCCAGATTATTTTGATATCGTGTACAATACGGACGTGTTACCTTGCTTAGTAAAAATGAAGATAAATATGGAGGAGCACGTCCTTTAATTATTTTATAAAATAAACTAAATTTATGTTGAAGAAAGAATTCATGTAATGGTAACCAACTTAAACAATGAAAAATTTTTTCTTTACTTGACAATCGTAGGGTTTCACTTACAACTGACGCAGGCTGATATTGTAAGTTATATAGCTCAGCTAAAAGACATATGTCGATGTGTAGATACAATCAGTATAACCTATAATGAACTATAAATCTGATTAAGAATGATTGTAGGACAGTTTATATTTGAAGAACTTCAATAAGTTAATTATTTTATAACACTTACGTCGTTAGTAGTAATATATTTTACGTGAGTTTGCCAACTTAACTTCTTTCTTTTCAACACATTTCTTATTTTTTGAAAGAAACTAATCTCAGTTTAAGTGGACACTCGTTCTGTTTAATAGTACATTTGTTGAATATAAATGTAGTTTGACGACGAAGAGAAATTATTTAGAGTATTTTCTGCGTTTTGGTCATTTCCAGCTCTAGCTATTGCCGAACCATTTTGATCCCGAGTTACATCGATTTTGTCATTTTTAAACAATGTTTCAGGTGTAGAATTGTTTCCTCTAATATAATATCAAAACTCTATAGATTTCCGTTTGGTTGCTTAAAATATTCAGGCTTTTTCACAAAAATCTCAAAATTTTAGTAAAATATTTTACAATTACTATTTTAGCTTTAAAATACTTTTAAATATCAAATTTTGTTCAGGTTTGCGCGCTCTTTCGAATGAAATGTCGTTCAAAAAAATCGAACGAAAACTGACGGGTTTATATATAAAAAGTTGAAATTGATCAATTTTCGGGTTTTTTAGGCATAGGTCTTGGGAAAACTTGATTTCCTCCAGAGGAAAATAACCTAGAAGGTTTTAAAAAGTTTCGTCACCCCAGTTTTTCATGCCGAATCGAATGATGTAACTTTTAACGAAATCTATTTTTCGAGATTGACAGGTATACTCGACAGGCTCGTGGAGGCTCTCTTAAAATGTCCACATGCATGGGGTATCGTGCAATTGGATCAAATCCGATGTGTCTAGGTAACCCGATATTTCTTACTATTTTATCCAGATATTTTCGCTGGCGAATCGAGCGATACTGCAGTGAGTATATCTAGATTTCTTCTCTAACGTTTTCGTGCTTGGGTTGTTTTGTTCACAGATATAAAACGGATCTCCTAGAATCAAAATCAAGCTTCGACAAATCATCGGGATTTTCACCAAAAACTTAAAGCAGTCGAAAACTTTCGAAATACACATCATTCGATTCAGCTTTTGATCCTGATTTTGAATATGATATTTCTATTGCACAAAAGTTTTGTTCAGGAAAATCGCGAATTACGGGCAGAATTTCGACTGTTTCTCCTCTGATTCAGTAAAGTCGACTTTTCTCCACGAGGAAGCGAACGGTTTTCGAACGCATGCATACTTTTGTTCTCCTTTTAATGGCGGTTCGAATGATGTATAATTGTTGGGAAAAGCTTTTAATGCAAAGACTACATAGATTTGGCGCACAGAGGTCTCAAAACGGCCATGGACGCACTTAGGCCATCTGGCGCAGGCGCTAGAATAGATAAAATACTCTTGAACTTACATGGTTAGACTCCTTTTGAGCTGCTGAATCCGAATATGCGTGCTTGACAAAACGAGAACTGAAAATTCAAATTTTGAATGAATTTAAAAATTGGATTTCAAATATAGTATGTTTATGCTGAGTGCCCCTACTTCCATTTCAACGGTTAGCTTTCAGAAAGCTTGCCGGGGTTAATTCGAATAAATGATAAGATGAGCATATTTGCTTTTTACTTTAACCCTTATTAATGACCACTAGGATTTATTCGTTGTAAAACCTATAGAACTTTTATGAGGCTATGTCATATTCTGACGTACTATTAAGCGATATATTTTAACCTATATAAATCTATGGTGGTGAGGATATTTTACATTTAACCTTTCTTTATTTAAAGCGAAAACAGTTGATAGTTTCCACTAATACGTAAGTAAAAAGATGAAACGAAATGAAGCTTGCACACAAAAAAACTGCATGAAAAGGGTCCTCATATAAATTGATTCCTTTCTTTGAAGATATTAATGATAATTTAGTGATGATTAATAATAATGATCATTTAGTAGGGTAGTACCCTTTGATGTTAGAAGGTCTGTCACTGAGGGATTGGGTCCAATATTTAAACTGTCAAATAGCAAATAGTTCTCAGAATATTTTGTTTCACGGAACAGTTGTTAGTAAGCTACAATAACCACAAACAACATTCATTATTACTACAATAATATTTATAGGATTATTCTTCATCTATAATGAACGTTATTTCATTTGAAACTGTTTCACTATTGAATATCAGCAATGGGCAAACATTTAACTCTCACCTCAACCGATCTATTTATTAAGCGTACGCTGCTGTTGAGATGGTAGCTTAACCTGATTTATTTCAGGTTGTAGATTGTCATACTGACCGAATAAGGCTATCAACAGTAATTTGTGTTATAGATGATTTTAGCGGTATTGATAACAATAATATTGTTAAATCTACAATGTCAGACAGCAGCGGATTCAACAGGAAAAATGTCTGTACGAGGTCAATATATTGTTGATTCATGTGGTCGTGTAAGGATATTCCATGGTATAAATGCAGTTCAAAAGGGATTTCCATGGTATCCCGTATTTCCAAATCCTCCATTACTTGATCCTAGTTATATGAAAAATTTATCTGATTGGGGTTTTAATGTTATTCGTCTTGGTATAATGTGGGCTGGTACAGAACCCCAAGAGGGAGTGTATAATGAAACATATTTATCAATTATGAAAACAATTGTTGAAAGTGCTCAAAATAACGGTATATATGTAATACTTGATATGCATCAAGATGTATTATCAAGTCAATTAGCAGAGTATGATGGTATACCACTTTGGCTATATAATAAGTTTCCTGCCTGTGTACCAGACACTTGCTCAATTTTGCATTTGCCAACTGTATCAACTTGTTATAATTATTCATGTCCGTTTTCAGCAGGTACAGTTAGTGGAACTAATTGGGCTCTTGGTTATTTGACATCAGAATGTAGTTATAAGTTTCAACAATTATATCACAACAATAATGGTGCAGTGGTATCATGGAGTATGTTTTGGAATAAAATAGCTCGAACATTTGGTTCTTATTCCAATGTACTGGGATATGAATTGATTAATGAACCATGGGCAGGGGATGTTTATAAAAATCCTGCTTTATTGCTACCGGGTGTTACTGGTAGATTAAATTTATTACCTGTTTATGACAAATTAAATGAAGCGATAAGAGCAGATGATACAGAATCATTATTATTTTACCAACCAGTAACATGGGGAGTTGTCCTAAATGAGGTAGTTGCGGGAACAGGTACGTTTTGAACAGATGAAAAAGTAAACATCTGCATTGGGTAAATCGCTGTGTAAGACACTTGATTTGTTTTGCCTAGGAAGTAACATACTCTCTAAAAAAGGTTTTTCATACGCAATCTTCTTTCTGCTGAAGAGTGGTGAAATGGTTGCCCTTTTGTAAGCCATCTAGTTTCCGAACTTATTTTAGGTTTTGTAGTCCTTGGAATGGTTTTAGTCCAATTTTTTTAGTTAACTTAGAAATCTAACATATTTCACGTTGCACACTAAAAAGAACGTGTTACATGTTTTGTTGGAATTCCGCGACTTTTTATCTCACTTCATACGTTGCACTTATCGAGCCCTACGTCTACGTCTGGTATGAGACCCAGCTGCTAGAGAAGCATATCTTTCGCTGTTTTGTCGGTCCTTAACAGATTTTTAATACTTTTGAGAGTGAAATCGATGCATTAAAATCCAAGAGTTTTTGAAAAACTCTGTATATCCATAGATTTTAACCACATTTCACAAATGTGTCCGCGTAGACAATATGTCGCAGAATCGGTGCAAAAAACGTGTTGTAACATGAACCTAATGCAGCAAATATACTATCGCTAAAAACGGCGAGTTTTACGATACATGCGATGCTTTATTTTTTGGGTGGGTAGCGTATCATTCAAAGGCTGCTCACATCTTTTGCCTCTCAAGAAAGGTCATATTTTTCTTCGATAGGATCCGTATTTCTCATTTTTCTCAGACACGAACAAAGCAGTGGAATCAGTTCGATCTGGTATGGGGGAGGTACATTTGCTCGACGAAGTGTGTGTTTCTGGAAGAAGAATGTCCCGGCTGGCTATGAGTGAAAAATCGACTTTTTCACAGCTGCATTTTGCTTCTGAACCCCATCTGTAGTTTACTAGTCCAAAAACTTTTATTGCACTAGTTTTTTGCAGCTAGCAATTCCGCATCAATTCATACCGAAGAAAAAGGTTTCAAATTGTTTGAGTGATATTTTTTCTACGATCAGTCGTTGTTGGAGCAGTTTTTCAAAATTTCGATCTTTTTGCGATTTCATTAAATTTTTGAACATGGTTATAAAATCTCTGAAACAACTGAATTGAATGATATGCTGCGTGAGTACTAGAAACGTGACACTGGTTCGGTGATAGCTTCACCATGCATGTGACATATAGAGTATCTTTATAGATCACGGTTGTGCAGACTGAACTTGAGGAATGACTTTTGACGAGCTTCAAAACCTGCCGCCCCAATATACCGCATAGAAGAATTTGATATTAATAAACCAAAAATGAATTGAACTGTCAGCCGCCTATGATTTCACAAGCCTACCCTCAAGATTGAATGATATTTTGTTTAGAGGAACTCATTTAATATTCCGAAATTCCATTGAATGTTTTGTTTAGGCTTTACTAGAGTGCCTGGTGGCGATCAGTATCGAAATTTAAGTGTATTAGCATATCACTGGTATTGTTTTACAATATCGATAGATCCTGCGAATCCAACATTTGCAAAAACAACGTGTGGTGTGTTAGGTGATTCGGTGTTTCAGTCAATTAGAAGTGATGTTAAGAGAACAGGTATAATAATTTAATTATGATGTGATATGTGTGACGGGCTATACGTAATCGTCCATGCTAACCATAAATATGAGATTCTGTCGTGCCCATTCTGGGCTTTTGGCTGGATTGTGAATAGAGATTTCCAGAATCACAAAAAAAAATTTTGAATCAGTCATTTTTTAGAGCATCTTAGATTGTTATCCAATATCAAGCTTAACAAATGAGTGTTCGTGCATTTTTGTTAAATACTGATTCCGTTACAACCCGATGAAAGCAAAGGGTTTTATCAGTCCCACAAGTGGGTTCGAAATGAGTAACTTTGCTATGCAGTTCCGTATAGGCCCGAGATCTCCACTTATCATTGTTCCCGTACGGTACGTTTTCCTAGGCGCCACACGATCACGTTTTTTTAAGTTCTGAAAAGGTGAAAAAAGCACAGAAACATAGATTATCGAGTACTGTAAATCTTCTGACGATGTTTGTTTTCAGAGACAAATAGTAGAACAAAGTGTACTGGTGTTTAAAAATAAATTATTTTAAGATACACATCTAGACAAACAAAGCAAAGTTGCAGCGTACGGAAAATCAATCCAAATGATTTGAAACTTTGAACGCACACTCATCTTTATAAGCCTTAAACGACAGTGAAATTAAAGATATCGAATTTCTACGTCAACTTGAACTTTGTTTCATGTGTGGAATAATCTTGCAGAAAATAATGTACGCACAGGTAAGTAAAAAAAGCCGCAGGTTCGTAAAAAAGTACCACCTGTACGGAAAAAGAAGAGAACATCCGCTGAAGAGTAAAGAAATACTAAAAGAGGGTACAATCGTTATTCTCATGATTTTCTAAAAGCACCTAACCCCAAGAAACTACTTTTTGTGCTTTTTTTGTCACCCACATAGAGAAGATTGTTTTACTTTAGCTCTGACAGTTTCAAGTCGTTTGGATTGATTTCCCATACACCTGATTTTTTTATTTTTCTTGATATCTAGCCTAAAATAATTTATTCTTAAACGCCACTACACTTTGTTCTACTATTTGTGTCTGGAAACAAACATTGCCACAAAGTCTGGAGCGCTCAATAACTCATGTTTCTATGCTTTCCTACGGTTCCGAGGTATGCAGTTTCTGTAATGACGATCGACAATAGGTATTTTGCGAATTTGCAAGAAGTTATCATCTAATGAACGCCGAAGGCGACTTTTAGAAGTGGGTAATCTCTCCCTCAGAATAAAAAGCCATGCCTTTCTAAAATATTAGTAGTTAGTATCTAAGAGAAAAAGTATGGAGAATATATGTCGAATTGACACCTATATAAACG